CTAATAATTTGTCAAAGGTACAAATGACTCACGCGCTGGGGTGGGATCAGAAGGGAAGGTGCGCATGTTGACACCGACGTAGCGCTGCGATGCAGTGAAGGTGCTGATAGGTAGCTCGCTGCGGTTGAACACAGTGCCAAAGAAAGCCATCGTCCGCTCCCACTCCGCCCGCACAGGGCCAAACAGGACTGACTTTACAGTCTGTGACTGCTGCTTTCCAAACGACGTCGGGAAGACGACATTACAGGTGAAGACGAAGCCCATGGTCATGCAGATAGCCCGGGCATGCTGCCCCGACTGCGGCTTCCAGGAGAGCACCTTGTTAGCACTTTGGCCAAATGTACTCAAGGTGACCTTGGCTGGGTCAAAGCGCGCAGGGTTGATGACGTAGCCGCCATCATTGCTGAAGGTGGCCAGTCTCTTCAGGGCACTAGGATTTGCGGTTAGCTTACATCATGGGAGTAGAGATATCACCGACCTAGGGTTCACGTCATGCTTGTCGACAAGGCCTTGCGTGTATGGCACAGTGCTGATGAGGGAACCGTCTGCGGTGAGTGCATCACAAGATCTAGGTGTATGTCAGGCTGTGCCCTGCATATGAAGAATAATGGTGTTTCATACCGCACTACTGGCAAGCCCTGGTACGTGTCCCTGAGCGCTTCATCCACAACATCAGGGTTGTCAACATCGAGGACGAGCTTGTTGGTGACGTCATCTGCAAGATCTTCCATGGCGGCATCATCCTCCTCTTCTCCACTGTCCAGAGAAGACCTACTCCATGCAGTCAGAACTTGCAAATATTTCAGGTTCCAGGAAAATGACGTACATGTGTGCGGTGTCCTTGCTGCTCCCGTGATCCTGACTGATGATGGCTTCAACGGAGATGCATTTGAGATATACCAGATCAAAGACATACATGGTGCGCAGGGGCTCAGGAAGATGGTCGGTGAACAGACGACGCTGAAGGCGCGCTCTACAACACATTGTAAGGACTAGTACGGTACTTGTAAGCAAAGCTTAGTACTTGTCCTCGTCGTCAGTCTCGCGAGTGAACACCGACGAGTCAGAGCTGGAGAGAGATCAGTGCAAGCTCAATATTGCATGTACATGGGTAGACTCACTTCGGGGCCTTAGAGGTCTTCGCAGCCTTGCTAGTGTTGCTGGCCTTGACGGGCGTGTTCTTGGACTTGCCGGGAGTCTTACGCACGGGGATCACCACCTCGACGCTGCTGCGCTGCTTGGTCTGAACCTTTCTGTCCACGGTGCCGCTCAGCTCAGTCTGAACATCCTTGTCGACCATGATCTTCTTAGCCTTCTCAGCAGCAGCTCTTTCAGCAGCAATCTGCGCTTTGATGGTCCTGAGCCAATATTTAGTAGGCAGCAGATAAGTCACCAGTGAGACCTACTGTGTGCGGGGGAGAGGGACAAAACTCTGCTTGACTGGGGCCGGCCTGGATTGCCACAGTTAGTGGAAGCTAAAATTGAAGGTGAAAGGAAAACGTACACCGTCTTGACCTTCTTTGCAGGAGAGATTCTAGATAATGTTGTGTTAGTATCAGCGTAACCAACACTGATGTTTGCGCACCCTTCATCTTCGGAGTCCTCAGAGTCCACCCTAATTGGATGATTAGTCCAATGATGTAACCTATAATGACAACACGGTACACTTACTGCTTGGCACGCTTAGCAGGGGTGGACTTCGGCTTGGCAGCTCTGCCACGACCGGCCTTGCTATGGCAAGGTATTAGATGACAGATAGCAACAACACAGTGGAATAATAACACTCACACAGGTGATGGAGTCTTTGGTGTAGACGGCGGGCTAGAGTTGGCAGCACGGCTGCGTCTGCAACATACAATATTAGACAAGCATTGCATAAAGTGAGAACGAACACATACCCAATCTTTGGGGTCAGCTCAACCTCCTGGCGGCTGTCCTCCTCGTCATCGCTGCATGTGGCATTAGATTTGCATTGGGCTGATGTTGCATATCTTACCTGATCATCATAACATCAGCGGAGACACTTTCATTGTCACTGTAAGAACACCCTTCAGAACTGAAGCACATTGAACAAAGAACTGTGCAGAGCAACGTACGAGGTGTTGTCAGCAGCAGCCTCCTCCATGCTGATGTCAGACTCAAGTCTGGACATCGGACTCCTCAGAGCCTTCCTCAGCATCACTGTCAATGGCCCGTGCTGCCTTGCCACGGATGGCCTTCCCTCTACAGTCGTTGAGAAAAATGTGCTGTTGAGGAGAGAGCAACACTCACTTAGCAGCAGATACTGCTGGGGCCTTGCGGGAAGGAGCCGTGGTCTTGCGCACTGCTGCAGCCTTGGCACCTTTAGCCTGAGTCGGAGCAGCCGCCTTCTTGGTGACAGCCTTGGGGCTGTAGAAGGGATCAGTATGCAGTAGCAATATAGTATGCACAAAAGACACTCACGCCTTTCCGCCGGTGCTAGCAGCGACACGGGTGCGGGTAGTACGTCCAGCCATGGGAATAGATGTGGAAGTGAAGAAGTGGAGAGAGACAGGTAAAAGGTGCTGAGAAAAGCGATGGGGAGGACTCGAGGTGATGGGGAGGACTCGAGGCGGGGAGGACTCTGCCTGGTTCCGCTGCCCTCAGGCCCTTTTATGCTTCTCATGACCGGGGTTCGGAGATATCGCCAGAGTTCTGGGATGTCGCTACGCTCGCTTACCAGTGTTGGGGACAATGCGCCCTGTTCCGTGATGAGTGCCCTCCCATGAACCCTGCCTGCAAAGAAACACCCTGTGTGCCGACTTGGTACCCCTTGTACCAGTTAAAATGCAGACATATGTATCAGAGTACACAGTGCATCTCTGGACAAACTGAGTGCACCTTCATGAGTATCCTGTTTGCGGAGGACCCATGGGGAGGCTTTTTTGAAATTCGCATATGTAGGCGTGAATTTGAAATGGCTGCGCTGATGCGCTTCGGGAACTAGGATGGGTCTCCCCAAAGTCCCGACTGGTCTGCAGTTGTTGTCAGCTCACAATTGGTGCAGCGAGTGGTGGAACGATGAGAAAGCTGGAAAGCTCTCCCCAAAGGCGGAACAGGCCCGAACAGAACTTTACGCTGCATGCATGTCACGGCCGTCCATCACTTGCACTGACTGCTGCTTCTTTCCTTCTTGACCATCACCTGCAACTATGTCCTTCCTCGCCCACCTTTATGGAAATGTTGCCAAGTACCGTGAGTGCGTGTGTCAACAAGGTCAACGGGATACTCACCGGAGTTGCTAGAGGGCCTGCTCCTGGATTGCATGAGTGGCAATGCAGAGTCTGCTCCTCCGTTTACCCAGCTTTTAAGCCTGTCGGATGTGCGTACTACTATGGCCTGTTTTCAACATGTCTGACCTGTTTGACAGCCTACACGCCTCATCAGCAACGTCGAGATACTAGAGCAACAGGATGGCAGATTGCTCACCCTTATTCAACAACGACCATCCCGTTCTACCCCTCCTGAGGAGCTCGTGTTGCGCGTGCAGGGTTTTCTTGTTGAGTCTACTCTGCCTCCAATCAGGCGCAACCAGTGAGTGCTTGTATCCGCTTCTTGTCAGCCAAGCATCAACAGTCTCGTCAGACTTCCCTCAAACCCAAACCGGCTTATCGATCTCAGGCAAACTGTCACCGTGAGCGGCCTGGGTATAGAGCCCTTCGACAAGGCAGTCAGCGCGGTCATGACCATTCATCAGCATTTCTGTGCACACCTTGTTGGACACAATCTGCGCACCTGGAGGACATCACGTCTGGAGAACTACCTTACACTCGCCTTCGGGAATCGGTACCTCACTGCTTCAAAGTTTGCTGAAGGCAAACCACGGGGTGATCTCAGTGATGTCGTGGACCCATTTTATATCCTGCAGCCCCGTCTCACCACTCAGGTCCATCTGCAAGAGAATGTGGTTGAGTACTGGGAGCAAACGGTGACGGAGAACCAGGGCAGGTGTGTTGTTTTTAGATGTTTGCCATTGTGTAAGTCTCTAACAGCGATCAGTTCCTTCCGCCGCATCAAGCCGGATGGAATCTTCCCCGGCACCATGGTTGAACTCCAAATTGCCTTTGCGGCAGTCAAGGTTGGGCATCATGAATATATATTCCTGCCCAAACTGCGGGCGATCTGTGTCCTTAGCCGTGCAGTGCAATCGGTAATCACTTCCTCTCTGTATTCTCTTTGCTGTGCTCATTACAAGCAGGACTATAACTCATCGGCCTTGAAAGATCTGAGTCTACGTGCTATCTCGCCGCTCAAGAAGGTCAAGCGCAAGGTGGGGTATGAAGAGGAGGAAGAGATAGGGATGGAGGAGTCACGTCGGCAGCTGAAGAGAATGTCCTTGCAGGATGGTGGTAGTACTCGGATTGAGGAGTCTATGTCAACTTAAGTGTGGTTGCGTTGAAGATAATAGATTGTCACTCTTCTGCAGCAGTATTTCCATTCATGCCTGCACGAGAGAGTACCAGCAAGCCAATGATAGCAGCGCAAGTACAGGTGTGATCACTGAAGCAAGAGCGACATATTACAGTGCATAATGAGCGAGCCAGGAGTGTAAGGCAGAAACAATGTACGATATTTCTAAGCAGCATAAAGTAGTAAAGGTAAAATCTAAAGTTTCTGAACACGATGGTACTTGCACAGAAGGTGCTCAAACATAATGACGTCAAAGTCCATCTTGGCCTTCTGCTCAGCATCCAAAGAAGAATCAAGTGCACGATAAAGGCGGCAGAAAATAGGGAAAACCTTTGAAGAAGGCCCCTTACCCTGCACCAGTCCAAGGGCCACCAGACCCTTGACCGCTCCAGCCCCAATGCTGCACACCATGTTCCCCATTTCCTCAACACCCGGCATCTCAACAAGGCCTGAGTAGACCAAGTCAGATGCGCACAGCGCTGAGGTGAGTTTGCCAACTCCAGGGAGGTGTTTACACATCCAGGCTTGCGCAGTCACATAGGGAACAGGCTGACCTTTAGGGAAGTGCGCCCTCCACTCTGCCTCCTTCTCAAAATACACCTTGAAGTTCTCCTCCTTCCGGCCATGGGAGGGAGCACCATAGGCAGTGATGTCGCAGAAGTACTTGCCGTCCTCGCCATCCGCCAGGCCCTTCTCTGCGACCACAGCTGCACGCTTTGCCTCCCAGGCAGCAAAGTCAGGAAAGAGTCTCCCAGCACGATAGTCCCGGGAGAAGGGAGCACGGTAGGTGACACCACGCGCAAACCAGAGGCTGGCAAGCGCACCTGGGGAGTGGATGATGGCGGGGTGGGCAAAGGAGCCTGGAGCGCGCGCGCTGATGGTCTCTGGAGCATGTTGGCGAAATGGAAGATGGTAGTCCAGATCGTCCAAGGCCCATTGCTGCACTGCAGTGGGAGAGGCAGGTGGACCAGCAGCGTCGAGGAGGGGCAGCAGCTCAAGCATAAAGGCGGTCAGCTTGCCAGCGGCAGCCTTGATGACAGCATCAGGCACCGAGGGAATGATGAGCGACGCTCCTCCGAGTCAGAATCAGCCAGCGGGAGTGCTGACAGATCCTGAAGGAACTCGGAAAGCATGTCTGGCTGAAAGGCATGGCGAGGTGGGAGGTGGTCACCAAGCAAAGCAGTGCGCGCAAGGCGGTAGAAGTTCCAGACCTTGTCCAGAAGCAGGACCTGGCCTGAGCCAAAGACACTGGTGAGGTGACGGACAAAAGTCCCCTGGATGCGGCTGATGCTCTGAGGGCCAGGAAACGCAAGCCAGGAACGGATGGTGGAGTGAAGGACAGCCATAACGCAGGTCTCCAAAACCTCAGAGGAAGGCTCCAGGTCGTCATCTGAGAAGTTGAAGGTACGAGCAG